ATGTAAATGCCATTTGTAATAACACTGAGGGCTCTTACAACTGTACATGCAAACCGGGATTTATTGGAGACGGAAGAAACAGTTGCAAAGGTATGGAAATAATTACAGATATTACGTGGCGAAAGGTCCACAACGATGTGATAGAACTTACTAAGGTTAAATAGTAGTAACACACTCAAGAGTTGAGAGGAAGGACATTCGATTTTTATTTTAATTCTCTGATGGGAATGTAAGTCTTACTTAGCATTGCGATACATATTTGATAGAGAAAAGTTGTTAGACTACTTATTATAGCGCGTTAAGGTAACGTAAAGAAATGGTGTGGGTCACCTGATGTTCATGGGTTTTACACTGCTTCTTAGTAAGGTTTGGTATTCTTATCCTTTTCAATCATCTCAGCATGATTCGCACCCAAAGTCTTTACTAATCATTTCATATTGTTCTATACAGGGAAGAAAACAATAAACACAGCTAAAGATGAGGCTCACTGTTTATTTTATTTACTCTTATTTAGAATGTGGGCCTGTTGGTGTGACAGACAACAATACAATTCCAGATGCCAGAATGACAGCGAGCAGTTCTTACGATAGTTATGAGTATCATCATTACGGCCGACTGCACGAAACCAGGGGAGCAGGAGGGTGGTGTCCTCGGAGCACAACTGATAGAACAGACTATCTTCAAGTCGATATGGGCGAAGTACGTTCTGTTTGTGGTGTGGCCACACAAGGAATGCGGGGGAGCTCCTTCTGGACCACCAGCTACAAACTACAATTATCTACAAACGGTATAACTTGGAATACTTATAATGAAACGAATATTGAAAAGGTATGGAGAGAACTGTAATTGACATTTTCAGCAATTAACAAAGAATTTGAGGTCAATGCAAATGATTAGCTAACAGAAATGCACTTAAGTGGTGAATTTGGACTCTTTTTTTTATTGGCTACTGCAGCAGAGAATGGCATCGGAGATCTAAGCTTGTGTAGTATAACGAATTGCTTCGAAATTCCGAAAGAGTATCTAATGCATCTTTTATGGAATGCTTAAAAAGACTTAAGAAGAAATAGTTTATCTATTCTTGCGTGTGTTTTGGTAAGGTCGAAGAGATTTAGAAATTAGTTGAGCACTGTACTGCCAAGACTTTTTCATCCAGGATATATCAACTACTAGCATTTGTCATGACGTTGTTTTCCGGATTTTTGTCATGGATTCATGTGACTTTCTTTCATTTCTGTGTTTTGTGTTTCTCAAATCATGATGGTGACAGAATGTGCATGCTGCAAACAATAGCTTAAATATTAGTAACATTTATATTTGGGAAAATACTCAACAACAGCCTTCTCGCAGTTGAATAAAGGAAAAAAACGTGTCACCTAGACCATCTCCTTCTGGCCATCGGATGATGAGTAATAAACAATCTACAATAAAAAAAAGGTGAAAAAAGTGACGGGAAAATGATCCCGTTTTGAAAGGCCGCGCCTCAATGCAATACAAAACAAAGCTGCGTGAAAGATGTAAGCTGTTCAGACCTGTTCAAATGCTGCCCGCACCCCCCCTCCCCCTCCCCCTTCCCCTCCTCCCAGCACCTCCTCTCCCCCTCCCCCTCCTCCCAGCACCTCCCCTCCCTCTCCCCCTCCTCCCAGCACCTCCCCGCTCCCTCCCCCTCCCCCTCCTTCCAGCACCTCCTTTCTTGACTTTATATAGAATCGGTGCACCATACTAAGTTGCTCAATTCGTTTTTTCACCTTATTTCAGGTGTTCACTGGAAACTCAGATGACACCTGTATCGTGAAGAATTCACTCAGGAATGACTTCAAAGCCAGATACGTTCGATTTTATCCTGTAACATACTCTGATTGGCCATGTTTAAGGGTTGAAATATTTGTGCTTAATTAATTCGTCAAAGGTTTAGTATATATGTAGCTATTCATCAACACACAAAAGAAATAGAGAAAAGTATATACACAAAGTTTACAGAGGGAAAATAAACATTACCAAGTAAACTTATAAACTTATTAGGAAACTAATCATTCTCAGGGGCGGATCCAGGATTTTTCGTCGGAGTGGACGCACCGCAAAGGAATCACGTAGCTGACGTCTCCTCTGACGAACAGAGCGGCTGATGCTGGAAAAGTCAGTGCTAACCCACCATTTCCACCGCATTTAACATAAATTCTGTAACCTCATGTTTTACCTCGACGTCAATAATTCATGCAGTTTTTTTTTCATTTTATTATTATTTTTGTTAATGTCATTTTTCCCATTACTAGTTATATTAGAAACCTGCAGATTATCTCAGGGGAAGGTAGGTATGCATCCCTGTGCCCTCCCCTAGATCCACCCCTGGCTACACCCCTTTCGCAGCAGAATAATAAAACAGTTATATAGAATAAAGGTAAAATGGAAAACGTATTCCAGATGTGTAAGTTCACTTTCGCCTTTTCATTAAGTATTATGATTAGCTGCTATCGGTGTGAGTTTTCTTTTTCTGATAAGTTAATGGTCTATGAAAATAAAATTAAGAGATACAGTAGAATCGAGATTCCTGAGGCATTAATACTTGCAACTTAAAAGCAAAGTACCCAGCCAGAAACAAAGCAGATCTGTAGGAGAACAACATCACTGTCAAACATGAGTGAATCAAGAGGAGCACATTAAAACACAACAATAGCAGCTTACTATGCCACACTTATAGCCATGGATGACTATCCGACGTCATGACATGGTTAAGAAAATCAGTAGAGCTGTCGTAGGGACGCAATTTACAGATGATAGCTTGACCCTTCAAATGATAGACTCGCTTTTTTAGGAGAAAAATGGTTTCATGTACATAAAGTACCTAGGATCTGTATTTTCAAGCACTCGCTGATATTAATAGCTGAATCCACCGAAGAGGTCTTCATACCTCTCTGGTATTTGATTTATAAAATGAAAATTTGATCGCATCACATATATTATTTGAACTGTTGGACAGACACGGTTGTAATCTTATCTAATTAAAAAGGAATTCAAGTTGCAATAAAATACAGTAGTTCATCTCCTATGATTTTGTGTGGTTGTGTGTGTGTTACTACGCCTTTTTCAAATTCCAATCAAACTACAATAGCGTCGATGGAAAACAACCATAAAGTTTGATCGTTGATACAAAACCTGATCGGCGATTATTAATATTCTGACAACGCCCCTTTCCCCCCAACCCTAGTAAGGTGGATTTTTCATTCCTCCAATAGTTGGCGGAATATGGTCCGCAATCGTTTCCATCTAGGTAGCCCTTATGTTGCGCGGCTCGTTTTTTTGCTTAGAGAACAAAATGTCACTCCCTTTTCTTCCCTATTACGGGTAATGGAAGATTTAATTGGATTCAAAAAGTGTGAGTGTAGATTCGAGTAGATTGAAAAGTGTGCGTCTCACGAAACGTATTAATAAACATTAACCTTACTAGAGTCTTGTGACAACAGCTTCTCGATTCCATCGGCAAACCACAAGATTACAATATAATTTTGACAGATTTGGCGACTAGGGACTAAGTGATTAGAAGGCAAATACTATACATTAAGCTTACTATTCTAGACGAAAAAGTTCTGTTTTAAACCAAGAATGTCTATAAAGACCCTTTAAAGTACATGGTTGGAAGCATCTGAAAAATTTTTGCGACAAAATTTTAACGTAGAGCAATATCCTGCAAAATTTCAGCTCACTAGAATTGCATATAGAGAGAATAATACATGGGGGTGCGTTGATATGGAATTTCTTTCGAGTGTTCATTTTGATAGCTCACGAGCGAGCGCAGCGAACGAGTGAGATGTCGAGCTGAACACAAGAAAAGAAATTCTAAATCTGTAAGCAACCATGTTTTATTTTGTTTATCATATAAACAAAATAACCCTTTACTCACAAGAAAAGAAAAAATTCATTAATGAATCGACAATCCCCGAATAACAATCGTGAAGTGCTTTGGCGCTAACTCCCAAGATGGAAAAATGCGTTAACTCGTGATTACGAACACAGCAATGGGCGTAATTTTCAATTTAACGACAGAAGAAGCCTTTCAGGTAAATGGCCAATATCGGCCAGAGGTAAACCTTCAAGTTGTCGATTTTCAAGTCATCAAAAACTATCTTACAACATTCAGCCAAAGAGAGAAATAATGGGCGCAATCTCAGACCAAGTTTAAAATGACCTACGGGGAGAACAATTAAAACGTACGGTAGAGTATAACAGAAATTTGTCAAAAGAGAAAACAAGTTGTAGTTGAACTGGTTTATTTCTCTTTACTTTATTTCAAGTGTTCCAAGGAAACTCAGATTACAGCAGCATCGTGAAGCATTCGCTCAGAAATGAATTCAAAGCCAGATACATTCGGTTTTATCTTGTCAGATACTATTCCTGGCCATGTTTGAGGGTTGAGTATTTGTGCTAGAATAATAGGTCTTTTCATCCAACAGCATTAAAAGTAACAGGAAATGGTCAGTTTGATGGAAAAAAAAAGCTCATGTACAGAGTCGACAGTAGCCGGGAAAACAAGCAATTAAATTCTTCCCAGCAAATGGACTAACAAAAGTTTTTTTAAGTAATTTCTCAACAGATCAGTAATTTGTAATGAAGTTATATACTGAATATAATGAATTATATGAAAACGTTTTTTTAAGTGGAATTTGGTATTGATTTCGTCAATCTGTTAACGTTAAGCCACATATATCCAAAGGCAATTCAGTTGGGTCAATAGAGAAAATAATTTTGCATAGAAATCACAAAAAACAACAACATAATGTAAACCGTGCGAATAAATGAATGAATTATTACAATAAGTCATAATTATCATGACTCGATGAAACATGCACACAACTTACTAGTTGACAACGTAATTCCCCAAGCATTTTAACTTGATTTGGTTCCTCGCCGCTTCGGGCATCAGAAATAACTTAACTGTCATTACCACTCAGTGGTCGCTACT